CTTCCATAACTCTTTTAAAAAAGTCGGTAGGTAGATAGAGGGAGAGAAAGAGAGAGAAATACAATAGGTAGGTAGGGAGATAGGTAGGTAGAGAGAGAGAGAGAGACAGAGAGAGACAGAGAGAGACAGAGAGAGTGAGTAGGTAGGTAGGTAGAGGGATAGAGAGAAATAGAAAGAGAGAGAGACAGAGGGAGAGAGAAATACTGTAGATGGGTAGACAATTAGAAAAGAGTTATGGAAGATTGCTTTTATATATAACTTCTGCTAGATGATTATATAACTTCTGCTAGATGATTATATGCACAAAAATGGAAACTGATGGACAAATGGCTGGTGAAGAGGACAGAAATTAGCAATATAGCAAAATTAATTTGTTTGAATAGCAAAAGACAATAAATACAGTTATAGTGATTGGAAACTTTCAATGGACATTTTTGCTGAAAATAAAAAAAATGAACTTGTGATTTATGGGTTGGATAATTAGGAAAAGTAGACTACAGAAAGAAGGAAATTCTGTGGAAACCTTAGAGAGGGTAAAATATAAATACATTTGTAACTGCGGTGAGAAGAACAGTATTTGCTGGAAAAAACATTGAACTGAAGCTGCCACTGATACTTCAAAATGTGTATTTAAGAAGATTACCTTTGATATGTATCTGCTGCCTGTTTTTTCAGCTGAAGATATTCATTCAAATAACCAAGCATTGTGAAAGCACATGCATCATTCTGGATTCTTTCTGGAGGGAAAAGTGGAAAATAAAAAAAGAAAATAGGGAAGTGTACAAAAACAATCTGAAATTTAGATTCCTAAAACAGGCTACTGGAACCATTTACAGAACTAAAAAGGAAATATTTCTGATAAACTATACTTATTCCATCATCTGTGGGTTAATGTACAAATGATAGGTGATTACCTCAGATACAACTATTTTCAAGAATGCACATTTAAATCTTATTCTACACATTATCCTTTGCCATAAAACAGTTACTATCACAGGATATTTGGCAATTACATAGTCAGTACTAATAGGCTTCCCAATAGCTGTGGAGGGTACCAGACTGAGGAAGGTTATGTTGTATCTCAGAGTCTGGGTTTTACTTTTAGCGTGTTTGTAAAAGGAGTAAGGGAGAAAAGGGAAAGAAAGAGAAAAGAAAAGATCTATCACTCTTCTAGGTTTAGGCTATACAATGTAGGAGCATCTCCGCTGGCTCATTGCCTTGTTCCCAATGGTGGCCAGCCTAAGTCTCTGGGATTTTTAAAGACACACCAAAAATGTAGCAGTCCTTCTCTGCTTCTCTTGTCTCTGGAACGTAAATGCATACTGGAGAAGTTCACTGCGGTTCTACTAAACAGTCATTGCTAAGGATAAATTATAAATTGATTCTACATGAAGCCACAATGAACTTGAAACTCACTGAAAGTTGCGCCAAACATGCTTTCTCTTTTCTGTTCCAAGCCTCACAATAATCACTGGATTCCACTTTGACCAATCTAATTAAAACCATCTAGTATTTTAAATGTAGGATGGAGAGAGCCAGTTTGGTGTAGTGGTTAAAGGGCTGGCTTAGAAGCCAGGAGACTGAGTTCTAATCCTACTTTAGATATGAAAGCCACCTGGTTGACTTTGGGCCCATGTCTTTTTCTCTTAGCCCAACTCACCTCACAGGGTTGTTGTTGTGGAAAAATAGAAAGAAGGGATGAGTATTATACACCTTGAGTTGTATAGAATACAGGAGGGATTAAAATAAATCTTTTTTAAAAAATTACCTGTATACTTAGTTAAAGCAACTTGTGCTGTTGGAATAGCATTCATCTGAAGGATGTTGTACTTATATAGTTCAGTATTTCTGTTGGTTTTATCTTGTAAGGTTGAGCACACCCAGTAGGCATAGCCTTTTGCACCTTCCGTCTGTTGGAGAAGAACTGGAATTAACAACTGCTCAATTAGGAAATCATTTTATTGTTATCCTGTATCCCCGAAAATAAGCCCTCCCAGGAGAATAAGCCCAATTGGGCTTTTGAACACATGTGCTAAAATAAGGCCTCCCCTGAAAATAAGTCCTTCCTGAAAATATTGCAAGACAGCAGCAGCCATGAGGTGACCAAATTCGCCGCCTCCTGCACCTCAAAAATAATCCCCGAAGAGAAGCGCTTATTTGGGGGGGGGGAAAATAAGAAAATGTCTTATTTTCAGGAAAACACGGTACTTAAGCACATGCACAGGAATTAGGCATCTGGTTGATTTAGCTTATATCACAAATATACTGAGGGGACAGACTGAATTGAAATTATAGCTCTGCTAAAGGCCTGCCATAGAATATGTCTGATTAAAGCACCTTACATGCATGCTGAGTTCAGTGGTGTGTCTGAAGAGATCCATTGTTTCATAGCTACCAACAGTTTCTGCAACAAAGGCCTACCAAGAGAAAAAAATAAAATTGAAACCTCAAATCTATCTGCGTTGACCTGCCACAAGCATAGCCTGCTTATTTCTCACCACAAGTTGATTAACAGGAAGTTAAAAATCAGGTACAGCAAAACGTTATTTGAATCTAGCTAGTTTCATTTACATCTGCAGAATAACAACTCCAATCTTAGGAAATGCTTCCACAGTGTCTGA